ATTAATAACAAGCAATATAATTTTAACGAGCTGTATCTTTCGCATCTTCAGGCAAAGTTTTTTCGCCATTTTTGTCGTGCTTAACAACCACTTTCGCCCATTATTGGCAATAAAAAGCATCAAGTTACAAGCATCTTCTCGTACGGAAGACTTTTTCTTTATACAAAAAATAAGTAATTCGAAATTAAATGATGTGATTTTGTAAAGACAAATAAAATTAAGAAAACAACTTGCCTTACCTTTTTCATAATCAGCCATTTATAAGCTTAAGACCTATTACATTTGATGTTTCGACTGAAGCGTAAATATTTCGTAAATCTAAATTTATTCATGATATCATCAAATGTGCGTCAAATCGTTTCTTATTTCGAGACATATGATGTACCATATGTATAGGTAGAGATATTATTTTTTTTACGGTTTACACGAAAAGACGGAAGAAGTACATTTAGGATGATGAATTAACAGGGAGAAAGTATTCATTTATCACAAGTGAGCATATTGCTTATGTTTGTTGACAAATGAAAAAATATGAAAAAAATGATGTAAGAGGAATACCAAATATGATCACTGAATACATATAGAGACTTATTATATATCATTATGACGCTACTTACATCGAAAAGAAAAAATTTTCAATATACCTTAAATTGGTTGTATTTAATTGACATTATAAATTAAATCCTATTGTCTATATATTGCATTTGGAATTTTTACTTATCGTCAATTTGCTTATTATTTTTATCTGTTTCCACATAAGCGATTAAATTATGTTTTCAATAAAGAATTAAAAAATTTTGAAACAATTGAAGATAAATGAAAAAATAAAAAGACTATAAGGTAAGGCAATAAATTAATTTAATAAGAAACTAATTATAAAGAATCAAATTGATTTTATCTTCTCACACAATACAACATTACAGTGCAATTAATTTCATTATTATAAATTTTAAAATATTTCTGCTATTTTATTTTTAATTTTTCGTTTTTATTTTTAATTTTTACTACAAAATATTTTCATTTCAAAATTAAAAAGATATCAATTTAATTTACTACAGTACAATATCCGTTTCTGAAAGCAAAAGTAATTCGAGCCTGGGAGAGACAGAATTGTCTACGACAAATTTCCTGTCCCACATGATACATCGACGCATACTTCCGTTTGCGCGTTTGCTCCAAACTCTAGTCACCTGAAAAAGTCAAGAGGAAGACAACCCTCCGGCCCAAAGGTATGCTCTTGCATCCAGGTCGCGTACAAAGATCCTTATTGGTCGACGACGGCAAACCTCATGAAGGCTCTGGGGATCTCTCAGGAACTTTCAGGAGGGAGCTATGCCTGTGCATCCCGACGTGTCCTGTATCAAACTTGGCGCGAATAGCTCGTAAGACAAATCCCCTACGCAACATGGTATGGCTGAGTCTCGTGAGCCGCTTTGAAATTTGACACCCGATACACCATATTGCCTACAACGTCAATCACAAACGTGTATTCAAGATAGAAGAAAACTTTACACACGAATATGCATGTACGGCGAGGGCAGACATCGTCTGAGAAAGACCCGGCTAATTTTGCTAGCCGCCACGTCGCGTTGGGCCGAGGAGACCCGCGGTGCTCCGATGTACGAAAATGTTTCTGGTAGGCATGCAACCGGGATTCGTATTTGGACGTAGCTAACGATTGCTTCGACCTCCTTCGATAAACAATCGAGCTACGTCTCAGCCGTGCTTCGACGAGCCATGATCAATCTTTTACGCCTGCGGCGTTTATGGTCTGACACAAGCCGGACTATATCTACTGAATGCGTTGGGATCTTCTTTTTTTAGCGACAATATAATTTTCATTTCAGTGAAAAAAATATAAATCGTTTAGTTTCAAAATGTAATCTTCTAACATACATAATCCTTAACGATAAAGAAATAATATTTAATTGAAACAATCAAAAATTCTTTCAATATACTCGTATCTTTGATCAATCTGTGCACTATTTTTTTTTGAATAAGATAAAAAAATACTTAGTTTGTATCAAAATTAAAGTAACTATAACTGTTTCGGAAATATTACTTTTAATTTAAATAATTAACTATTTATAATAATGTAAAAAATAAAAAGGCATTATAATTTTATTTTAATAATTATTATTTTTAGACTACATATTTTTCTTTCATTGTATATGATGTATTTATATACAGCGCACTTTTTACGTAATTAATATACATATTAGTAATACATCTTTTTTATACATATGCACATATATATTAAGAGTTTGCATATATGAAATTATTTACATATAAGTCAGAACATGTATTCTGTTTTATAAATAAAATTTAAATACTTTGATCTTTTTAAACATTGAATACTTTACGAAAATCTAATAAATCAGTTATATATATTAAATATCTATAAGCACAAGAGTATTGCTATGTTTCTATTTAGCTGCCGTTTTACAGAATTTCATTTTCTGCGCGTTGAGTTTTGTACTATATAGTATATACAATGCGGTAAAGTCAAGCAGGCACAATTCTAACGAAATAATCGTGATAAAGCAACGAATTTAATTACAAGCTTTGCGATCTACGATGTTCGCGTTGGAACGGCACTGCGCCGTTTCGGTTGTAATTTCGAACTAAAAGTAAAAAACTCAACGCATGAAAATGTAAATCAATGCAAGCAATAACTACCATAATAAAAAATATTCCTCTATATTTGTTCTACATATAATTCAAGCGTGAACATACGAAACACGTGCGAAAGCGCCGCGGAAAATTATACGCTGCAATGCACAATCTAACAAATTATATCGTTGCCTAACAAATAAATATTATAGATCCACATCATTGCTATTTAGAAAGCTTTTCGACTTAGCGGTATTTCGCAAACACCCAGTTTAGTCCACGGGTGGAATAAGTGAGCGCGCGACCTGGACCTTTGGACGATAAAGTTAATGGACTTCATTTACATTGCATAATTGCGACGAAAGCGGAGCCAGCACTCAAATTATACGCAAGGACCAACAACCAGAACCAACAGCAAAGGTACCCTTTGAATATTCGGTATGTTTAAAACACTCATTTATACTGTACACGTTTGTTAAGTATGCCACAGACTTGCGACATTGAGGGTTAATTGACTACAGACGTAATGTTTAAATATATTTTTATTACATTAAGTTATTATAAAATTTGTAATAGAATGAGTAAGTTATGATTAATAATCAGATATATTTTAATTTAGGTATGTTTCACTTACATTCTTTTTGTATGATTTATCATTCTACGTCTCAACAAGTTTATCTTAAAATATGTAATAAACATATTTTTATTTTTATTTGCAAAAATCTCCATAAAATCTGTAATATAGATAAACAAATCGCTAAAGAACATTAAGTAAAAGTGTTAAAACATTGCATTTATTTCTTCAATCTTATCAGTGCAAACACTCTGCATACTGGAATATACATAAATTCAAGTAAACGTAATATTTGTGATTGGATTACAGATGTAAACAGAAAAAAAGTCAAATAGCCTTTTTTTGTGAAATACGTTTTTGTGAAAAACAACAAACTCCACTTTTGTTTTTTTTAAATACATATTATATTTAATGTATTATAATAATTGGTATTAAACTTGGCAATCATATACATATATATATATATATTATTCATTTTTATTTAAATATAAAACACAGTTTGTAATTTAAAAAAAATGTATGTTAATTATTTTTTTAATTAAATTTATAATTTTCGTCATCCTCTGAACTTTCGGAAGTTATTATAGAAGAATTTTTGAAATTTCATCCTCATTAATGTTATGTCGACTAATTTTCTTTGCGCTCAAAACTCTGTTAGTTTCAGAAATAGTCTCTTTGTTAGATGTGTTGGTGTTACTTTGAAGAGTAATGAATTGTTGTAAACTGTGCAATTTTAAATGGTGTGCAATGTATAGAAATAGATAAACAGAAAATACATTTTTTTTCAATGTCTTCCCCGAAGCGCAATTGCCCTACGCAATACATTGTTTCGATATATTCCTGCGTGCGGGAAGGGAGTGGGCAAAATGTAACGAAAGGGTTACACGCAATAATTTGCCGGAAGAGAGCGGTTTTCGTGCGTGATCCAATTCGGCGGCTTTTGATCATGCACAATGAGGAAAAGGTATTTGTTATTTATGATTACATTCGCGTGGTAAAATAATTATAATTAAGGGCTCCATTTTTGTAATTATTACTGCTGTAATAATGTTAATAATAATAATTATATTTATAATTTTACATGCAAAAAAAAATATACAGTTGACACTGAATAGTCGTTTTCCAAGCCAACCGTATATTTTTTGTAGAAAATAGAACTGTAAATATAATTATTATTACTAACAGTATAATATTATATTATATATATATATATAAATGGAATTTTCAACTTTAATTATTTCACCATGGAGTTATATATAAATATCAAACACTTTCCTTTCAGTGTGATAACATTAGCGACACTTGACTAGAATATCATTTTATATACATAGGCATATAGATGCAAATTCAACTACCTATTTTAACCGATATTCTTGCGCAATGCATTCCGTTAAAAGCACGTGGTCAAGTATCGGTGAGAATCGAACGAATCGTTAAGGAGGATATCGATTTCATCGATCAAACAGAAAATACATTTATTTCGATGAATGCATCATCGTGTTGAGCCAATATAGAAGTCCGCTGATATTTTCGCATGGCGAGGAAGCAATATAGATATCAAAGGCAGAAAATTGTATAGCTTTCAGTACATTTGCATAGAACATTGTCAACAAATCTACTCCAAAAGTGAACGAACTGATGTTCAAATGTAGAAATGAGATTCCACATGAAGCGAATATCTTGTGAAATGATTTTCTTATCAATTCTTCAATTATTTTAACGTTGTTTTTCTCTGCATTGTTATAGCAAGTTAGAGTCCTCCGGAACACTAAATCAAGCCGGTTCCATCGTGAAATCAACACCGCGAACTTACATAGCTCCTGTACGATGTCATGATCTCTCGAACAACGAAGAAACTTCAAAAGAAGAAAACAGGTCCCCAGATGCGCTTCCTGCAGCTGGTTTCACCAACCACCATCAAGCACAGAAGCATCTACACCACCGTTTCACGATTCACCGGCACTGATTCCTTGGTTCACCGGCCCGATTGCGATAGGATGTTGAAGAGAAAAAAAGAAGACGGTATCAAGACCAGGAGTGACTAACCGATCGATTGTTTCAAGAAACACCTCCGCGATCTCATAGAAGAGAAAAGTGGCGAGCGTTGCGAAGGCGCTTCGTTTCGAACGAAGCTCGGACCCTGAAGAGCCGGCGACCCGCAAGGCATGCTGTGGTCCCTCTCGTTCTTGTTCTCTCTTACTCTCTTTCTCGTTTTCTTCTCTCACTCAGCGCTCTCTGTGTCTCTTCTTCCTTCTTCACGACTTCCCTTCTGCCCGAGGAGTTATAGCTCCTTGTCGCACTTGAGGTGCTCACTCGAGCCCTATTTTAAGAATAGCTTTGTACTTTCTCTGTCTTGCTCTCTATTCGTTTCTACTTCTTCGTCTTCTGCTTCGTCGGCCGTGAGGAAGACCTAGCTTCGAGAGGAAAAACCGGGGATACGGATAAATCTCGTACGTGCGAGTACGTGCGTTTCCGCTCAAGCGAAATCGCGATATGATGATAAAAGTGATTAACGAAAACATCGGCGTAATTAACAAAATAATGACAGTAGAACTGAAATGTTAAAAAAATTCTAAATTTATCGGTGAAACAGACTCCTAAAAAAACGAATGTAAAACTATAAATATTGTTTCCTATTAAGATTTGTTAAATCTTTAATTTGTGAATCCTAATTATTAATTATATAGACATAATATCGTTATTTTATATTTAAATAAATTTAAGTTTAATTAACAAAGAACCCTCTTGCTATAGACTGTATAGTTGTGTTACTGATTATTTTTATCAATTGTTAACTTAATGTAGTTAATTTAATTTTAATTATATCATATATAAAATGAAAAATTTTTATTTTATACTTTTTCTAAAAAATCTTACATTTCTTCCTTTACATAACAATTATCAAATATTAGCTGTATATATTAGGTAATTATTTGTATTAAGTAATTATTTGTATTATCCGAAAAGGAAGATGATAGAAGATATTCTATACGGATTTTTAGAAACACAACAATATGTAATTTCAGAAGCTTAATCAAACTGTTTAAAGCTTATAGCTTTAATTATCAAAGCTTAAAGAAATTTCAAGTCCTCTCGATATTCTGAGAACAAATGATCTGCCCGAAGACACAACGAATCACTTGCGAAACATAGTCGTCTTTGTCTAGGAAATGAGGACAGTATTGCCACAGGATCGTTTCCACTACCTGGATTCTCTTCATGCGATGATGTGGTCTCTTGCGAGAAGTCTATAGAACTTCACAAAAGCAGAAATTTCTTCTAAGAAATCGGTAGCGGAGAATATCCTTAAACAGGATTTACATTGTTATCGTTGGAACAACGAAAGGGCAAGAACAAAGACTTAGCGTGATCTGCAAAGGGCTCGAAAGGTTTCACCGAGTTTCCAAGCTGATGTTAGAGTATTGACAGATTTCATCTTTGACCAGATTAATTGTGAGAATTCCTTTGGAATTGAGAAATTCTCTTAATCCACGATTCTTGCCTTGTGTGTGGATGAGTGTGAGTGAGTGAGTGAGTGAGTGAGTGAGTGAGTGAGTGAGTGAGTGAGTGAGTGAGTGAGTGAGTGAGTGAGTGAGTGAGTGAGTG